TTTAACAGTTCAAACGGCGCAATAATCCGAATGCGTCCCCAGATTAATTAGTTCGTATTATGGGATTCGCGTTGCTCTTAATTAAATTAAATTAGGGATGCGCGAGAGAGCGCGGGAGTATTATCAGCGACGGTAATACTTGACAACTTTGACTCGCGCGTGGACTGCAGGCCACGCCATTCACATCCGTTATAGATTATTGCTTATCCGCCGCCAATCTGCAAATGGTCGCACCGGCGGGAAAACACAACGGAGGGAAACCTAAATTCCCCGCAATAAATGGCGGCGGGAGGGGGCGGTCGACCGGGATGCATGTTCGCTCGCGGATGTACAGGAAATTCGCCTAGAGACCTCGTATTGGCTATCAGGAAGGCCCGGTTGGTTGGCCGTGCATCGTGTCCAGTCTGCCTGCGCGAAGTTGCGCCAAGTCCTGCAATCGGTCCACCCTCCCGCGCCATTCTACCTCTCCCCTCGCCCACCGATCGTTCTTTTTCTCCCGATATTCCGTCGCCCTTCCCCCCCCCCTCCCGTCCTTCCCGCCCCGCGCTGAGCCTACATTCGAGTTTTCCTCTTTCTGCACGCGGCCGCTGCAGCCTCAGCCCCTTCATCGCTCGCCACTCAGACTTCAATTAATTTCGCTGGTTCTGGGCCGACCGTTTTCCAATTTCGAGTTTCTACGGTGAACGCGAGCGCTTTCGATAGGCAAAGGTGCGGGGAATGACAGAGGGAAAAAGGGGGAGGGGGGAGGGGGAAGGCGAGATGAAGTGAAACGACCGTCCACGAGACCGGCAAGAGAGGATGCGCCGGTGTGTGCATCCTGGCGCGAGCGCGCGCGCGCGCGCATTGTGTCGCACGTGGAACGGCGAAAGCGCGTTCGCTTAACGCGAAAAATTAATTACATATGCGCATCGCCCCGAGGACGTCTCGAGACGTCGTCGTAGCTCGCGAGCGGAGCGACGCGGAAGAGCGCAGAGGCGTTCTCCGTCGAGATTACCATCGGGATTGCACGTCGGACCGGAAACCGCGGGGCCCTCGCGTATAATATTTACATCCGCGTAGCGTGAGTTGCTTTTGTAAGTCACGTTTGAAATATTTATATCCGCTCTCTACTGTAAAATAACGTTACCGCAAAATCTTCTCGCTTATCTGCTTAGCCGTTAAAGCGACGTACCGCGTAACACAAAGACGACGGTTCTCCGTTGAGGCCGCCGTCAGACCGCCACGAGATCCGCACGTAATATCCGTCCCTCTGTGAAATAGAGAGCGCGAAACGCAACGCGACGCGACTCCACACGCGTAAGACACGGATACGCACGAATGAACCGGGAAGGGTTCGGTGCACGCCGATTGATTTACAATGGTTGAAGGTGTGGCAGAATCCGACACCAATATCATGCCGGCCAAGCGCGTGGACAATTATCCTGCGCTGGACAAAGGCTACGGGGGTGTATGCATCTATCCCATATATACCATCTAGCCTACGGCTCTTTACGCAGCTGACGCGTCTTGTATTAAGAAAACGCGTGGGTTTCTCAGTGCGTGGGCCAACACCCGCGCATGTATGCACGACGCGCACGCAACTCACAAGTGAAATGAGATCCGAACGGAACGTTCTTCATGGAAGAACGGAATCGTTTATCTACGAACGAAGAGTGAAACAGCATTCTTCCTATGCGAAACTCGTGTGCGACGTGAATGTTCGCATACCACGTACAATATTTTTGATCAATAAATAAAAGTAAATCGATTTTTACGAACTTTAAGAGATAAATAATCGATTTTTAAACTTTTCAATTTATCTTTTAGCACATATTTACTATATTTATTATACAATTGTAAATGATTAAGAGATTGTTTCTTTAAATTTCTTTAAAATATCTAATAGATATTTGCTTTAATCTTTTTTTTTTGTATTTAAGCTTTTTTAAATTCTCAGTAAATGTGTTTAGATAAGCATTTTTTCTATTGTTAACATGTGATTTATTTCACAGAAGAGTTGCAAAAAACAATCTTTTAATTATTTTCAATGCAAATAAATTAAAGAGTACTAATACGAATCCTGAAAAATTAAATTTTTAATTTGTGAAATTAAAGATTTAGATATTTGCGTCCCAGTTTTCAATTGCACTAAATCCAAAACTCTAAAAGCTTTATAATTGTACTACTTTTTTAATATAATACATTCAATAATTGAAAAATAAACATATACAAATAAAGCAATGTTATATTGTTGGTCTGAATACCAGCGTGCCGGCCAAATGCAGAATCGTCGTATCGTGCATAAGATAATCGAAGCTCAAACTCCGGAATAATGTTAGGAAAATACGAGTGTGCTTCTCAGAGAGACCGCGTTTCCTACTAGCGAAACGGGACATTCTCACCCGCACCGGCAGTACCGTCCGAGTGTCCCGCGAACTGTATTGTTGGTCCGATATCGCAACAACATCTCAACAACGCCGGTTGCGAAGGGCCCGAATAAATTTATGTAACGAACGACGGGGATACACGAGCTGCTGGCTTGTGCACGGCGAGTTTGCAGATACGTGCATGCCGAAGCACGTGTCGCTGTTGCTTTGCAAAATAATGCTAATAACACTGCCGTGTTAAGTTTCTTGATTTATCGTTCTCACGTTGGCAGATGTTGTCTACGAATATTTACGGTGGCAAGAAATTGCGATCAGAACATATATAACTAACCATGTTTCCAAGGATATACAGAAAACATATTTTAAATTAGCTTCAAATGTTCAAGCTTGATTTGTAACATAACCAATAAAAAAAAAAAATTGTATAAATTTTAATGCAGAGAGAAGAAATATTTAATAGATCATTAGAATATATGTATAGATCTTTGCAAGAATGGTATTTTTATATTTTTAATTAGTGTACAACTTTTTTCCATTATTTTAGGTATTATATATAAATATTGCATCGGAAAAGATGTTTACTTATTCTGACAAATCTGAGTTCCATAACAAGTTTTACACCCAGTTTAAAAATACTATAGTATTGAATATCCTGCGAATATCTTTCATTAATATACATACCAAGATGAAAAACAGCAGCTCTAAATATATCTAATTGAATTCTTCACTAATTGGCTTCAATTAAAAACTTTACAAACACGCTTCATTAGCATACTCCTTCGTATGAAATATGGCGCTATACGATGAAGAAGCTGCTATCTGTAGGCAACTAGGGAAATTAAATGTTCTTGAGTTCAGAAGATAAAAAAGGATACTGATAATACAGTTTTCAATATTATTGATAGACGATAAATAAACATTCTGAATTTCTATTTTATTCTAAACTATGCTGGTAAATGGATATAATGAACTTATTTATAATAAAAAGAAATTTATAAAACCTACTAAATGATAAACTTAATGGGACAGATAAAAGTTTCTCAAATTCTTGTTGTTTATAAGTGAACCAGATATCACTGGTTATTTTTATATGTAAAAGTTTCAAGATTGCAGAAACACTAGTAGAATATAAAACTGAGATTACTTAAATTGGGACATATTCTATTCCACTACATCATTATTGCATGTAAAAGTATAGAATTTAATTATATTAACAAACAATTGTTTAATCCACAATTTATCAATTGTGATAAATTTATCAATTGTGATAAATTTATCAATTGTGATAAGTTGATTGATATTTAATTTCTTTGTATGATAAAGAAAGAAAGAGAATTTCAAAGTTCCCAAATATATCATGTATTTGTATATAATAAGACCACATATTTTTAAAAATTCATTTCATTTGTGACAAACTTCTTATTTAAAAAAAATAAATATTTGTCAATTTTTTGAATAGAAATAATTAAAATAATAATATTGGATTCAACGTGCTGTTGTGTACAATTTTCCAATCTTATTGCTGAACAATGTCTTTTAAAGTTATATTAAATCCTTATTTATGAAAAAATCCAAAAATAAATTAAAAATATAATTAAAACAAAAAAATGTTTCCGCCCGGGATCGAACCGGGGACCTTCCGCGTGTTAGGCGGATGTGATAACCACTACACCACGGAAACTTGCTTGGACTAAGTTCGTATTATACATGTGTTCTGTAGGATGATTTTCTTGATTATGTAGCAAATATGACATGTTATTTATGGCTTGACCTTATGACCGTTGCTGACAAATAACGCAAAAAAATATTACTGCCTGAAATACATCGCTGTAAAAACATTATGTAATTCGTAATGCACATATAGCATAATATGCGTGTAACATCATAATTTAAATATCATTAACATTTAATATTCTGTCATTATTTACTATTAATAAATTTTATAAACATCGTGATAAGAATCATTTGAACAGCTGATTCACAGGTCAATCAGTCGATTACGTATCAGTCGATTACGTATCAGTCGATTAAACTTACCGGAAAACTTGCTTGTATATCAAGAAATTATTCGTGTTTATGTACGTTTGATCAAAACATTATAGATTATTTCACACTTCCTCGATAAAATCCTCGATAAAATTGTATCGATATAGAATCAAAGCGGAAAAATATCATCGCATTTCGTCATCGATCGTAACACTTCACTTTCCTATGTAAATATTATTCCATTTCGCAATTCCAAACGCATATTTATAAGCTATTTCTAACGATAAGTTTGAAAAATTTCAAATCTCACATACTTATATTAAATTAGACTCAAATTTGAATTATAATAGTAATTTTATATATATTGAAATAACAGTCAAAAAAAGATTGTGAAACGGACATAATTTTTCTCATTCAAATGCCGATATTTTATCTATGACATAGAATATCGTGCTCATTAAATTATCATTAAATTAAATAGTCTTCTAAAAGTTTTAGAGGATAAAATTCTAGAAGAAAAAATTTTTGTTTCTGCTAGATAGTGTCCTGGAATGAAATGTGTCATTGGATATTGCGATAATTCGGCAGTGTGTGCATGCATACGTGTATGCTGATGAATTGGTGTGAACACTGTAAGCATCAGGCGAGCGCTACCGAGTATTGCCGAAGAAGCATTGTTCATCGTCGATCCGCATCGAGACGAGAAGTGTTTTCGGGGAAGCAACGTTTTACCGTCCACGTCCAACGTTAGTGCTGATCAGTTGAGCGTCATCAGTGGATAAGATTGTCATTTTATTGTGGACTACGCATAGTCAAGTACGCGAATTCAATTGCGCATTATTGCCGCAGATCGTCGTTACTTCGACTTCGGACTGGCAGTCGACGATAGAGCCTTCAAGAAAACATGAAGGAGATCTTAATCGCGCTCAGCGCGATTCTAGCTGGTGAGTTATTCACGACACACGACCAATATCTCATTCGTTGTGAAACTTTTTTTCTTTGTTCGTACGCAACGACATTTTTCTCAACGAGACGTCATGTCGTATGTTATTTGACGCTTGATTATTTTGACGTTCGTCACGACCTTTTTTCTAATGCGCACTTCTGTTTGGAATGTTACGGTTGGCAGTACGCGTTCGCACGCGTACTTCAAAGTGTTGATTTTGTAAACAATTTAATATTAAGCTTTACCTGTAGCGTATATAACAGCTTCTGATTTTATCGGATATTTCCTGCTGCCTTTACTATGGAATTTCACTTTCTACACAGGCTCTTTTTTTTTTTGTTCATTCGTTTTCTCTGTCTCGCTCCCATGCTTTGTCTTTCTTGCGTCGCCGGCTGATTATGTTTCATTACTCATTGCAAAGGAACTTTGGTTTCTAGGATGAATAGAATGACTCAGTTAATTTGAACTTGCAATTTGCTAATATTGCTGAATATTGTCGGAAATTGATTGTAATAAAGGGTCTGATAATGGCTTCCGATATATCAGTTGTATGATAATTATGTGTTTATGTAAGATTGTCTTGAAATAGTATATGATTGAGTTTATCTGCTTTTATGAATCAAATAAGGCTATCAGAATTCACAAGAGACCTCTGACACTTCCTGTATTATTTACATTATCACTATTTTAAGTTATTAAGTTGTTGAAAACAATCAGGCATACTTTTTGAGCTCTTTGTCTTTTTTATCTTTATGACTTTCAACTTTGTATAAAGAATGCAATATTGATAAAGTGAAAGCAAAAAATTATATGCATGTTCCTTTTACTTTTCAGTATCTACAGCTAGTGTGATTATAACAGCTGGATCAACAGATGAGCCTCTTTTGGGAGCAAATGAATGTACATGGGGTCCAAGCTACTGGTGTGAGAATCTAAAGTAAGTTTTGGTAGTTATTTATATAACATTCTTAACAAATCTCTTGTTAAAAATATGCATGCAATGTATGATTATTTTATGATAGAATACTTGAAATATCAAAATTCTGATTTTTGTAAAACAGGTTTTATCTTAATTAAATATTTATCATGGTAATGTCTGTAAGATGTGATAATACTGATTGTATTTATATTATTGTTATTAATAGGACAGCTAAGGGATGTAGTGCTGTCAAGCACTGTATTCAACGTTACTGGGAGCAGATGGAAGTTCCAGAAGATAATGATAGTGTATGTGGTATTTGTAAAGATATGGTGAAACAGGCGCGGGATCAGTTAGAGAGTAATCAAACTCAACAAGATCTAAGAGATGTTTTCGAAGGTAGCTGCAAATTGATCCATGTCAAACCAATTGTGAATGAATGCATCAACATTGTGGATCAATTTATCCCTGAACTTGTGGAAACTTTAGCATCTCAAATGAATCCATCTGTTGTTTGCTCTGTTGCTGGACTTTGCAACAATGCTCACATTGATAAAATGCTTTCACAGTACGAGACACCGGAAAAGGTAAAAATTAACCTTGTAGTTTCAGACTTATTTTTTAAATATTTTCTTATTCAGCAAAAATTATTTAACGTTATTTTTCAAAATGAATCAAATATCCTTCAGTCGTTATTGAATGACCTATTGATACATTCGTACATGCATTTATATTTATCACTTTTAAGTATTTCGAAATAATTTGTGAGATTAGATTATTTACTTATTCTGTTATAAACAACGCCTTAGTAATATTTTCACACATGCTTATACTTATCGTTTCATTTAATTAATTAATCCAATAAAATTTATAAATGTTAAATTTTTATATTTGGTAAATAACAGACAAAGAATATTATGTATCAATATGATTGGCGAAATAATCATTGACAAAGAATACGTGTTTTATTTTTAGAGAGATGAAACAAAGATTTTATTGAAGAATGACGAACTCGAACCTGATGAGTGTACTAAATGTTACACAATAGCAAAGTATATGGAAAACAAATTACACCACACAACGCGGGACAATATGCTCCGGCAGTTTTTGAATATTTGCGGTCAATTTAGCTCTTTTTCGGATGCCTGTTCGGCCATTATTGTGACTCATTTTAATGATATTTACGATCATCTGCAGGATAATTTTAATGCGAACAATATATGTCACTTATCAGGCCAGTGCAGCGACAAATACCATAAACACGAAGATACAGATGCAGTAAGTATATTTAATTATATTTTATGTAAAAACTAACTGTGTTTTTTTTTAATGTATGTTATGACGAATAGGTTCCAAAAGTGGAGATAACACCACTGTCAAGCGTGGGTATGGTAGACGTTACCGACGATCTTCCATGCAAACTTTGTGAACAGCTTGTGGGTCATTTGAGAGATCTTCTGGTTGCAAACACAACAGAGATAGAATTTCAACACGTTCTTTTAGGTCTTTGTAAACAAACGAAATCTTTTGCTGATGAGGTTTGTAGTATAAATGTAATGAAGTCATTATATTATGCCATAGATATTTAGTACTAATTGAAACTAACTTTTTCAGTGTAAAGCTATAGTTGACGAATATTATCCACAAATTTACGAATATCTTACAAAAGGACTTGACAGCAGTCTTGTCTGTCAATTGTCCGGAATTTGTCCCAGTCCTGGGAAATTTAATCAAGTAAGGATATATTATTGAGATAAATAATGTATCTTTCATAGGAATTCGAACAAAATTTGCTATATTTTATTTTGGATTTTGTGTTAAAGGGACCAATTTGGCCTTTACTCCCGGAAGAGGCAGCAAAAATAGGATTAAATATGGTGAAAAGCAGACAACAACTAAGGGAAGCTGAAGTTGCCATTGGCAAGGAGCGTCCGAAATCGGAAGCTGAAGAAATGCAATTGCCAATTGAGAGAATGATGCCTTCTGCTTTGCTGCAAGGAGGTGGAGGTGTTAATGGAAAAGTAACATGTGCGCTATGTGAATATGTATTGCATTATATACAAGACAGTGCTACAAATCCTGCAACCGAGGTAATATATGTTAAAATATTAAAGTTTTAAGAATATAATATATATAAGTTTATGTAAAAATTATATTTATATGAATTTATTAAAATTTCAGGAAAGAGTGAAAGAAGCCCTGCGAACAGTATGTAAAAAATTCTCTTCTTTTGAAGGTAAATGCGAAGAATTTGTAAGTACTTACGGGGATGCAATTGTGGCTATAATCGTACAGGAAATCGATCCATCACAGGTAAATATTTTTTTTTATATTTAAAACATAATTAAAAATCACACTAAAGTAACATTCAATCGTTTAAGGTGTGCCCTATGATACATGCATGTCCATCGGAGGCATTTTTAGACATGTTGAAAAAAATTCCTAAAGGTTTCACCATTGAGGAAGAAGTACAGGATAAGCCAAATTGCCCACTTTGTCTTTTTGCTGTAACGCAAGTCTATGATGTTATCAAGAATAACAAAACTGAGGTATTATTCTTGATATTTGCCTATATTTGCCACCTATATTTGCGACACACGCAATGCAATTCATGCATTTAATGCAACGCTTCTATTACAGGCTAACATTGAAGCTGAATTGGATAAATTATGTAATCACTTACCAAAGAGCTTGACTGATCAATGTACAGATTTCGTGAAGGCATACAGCAAGGAACTCGTGGAGATGCTACTTGCAGACTTGACACCTCAGGAAGTATGCACTTATCTTAAATTGTGCGACCCATCCAAAGATACGGGCCCGAAGCAAAATTATATTTCTGAGAAGGATGGAGAAATACGTGAGTTATTTGTGCACAGTTTACAGTTTATATCGAGTGAAGCGAATTTGTGACAAATATATCTACAAAAAAATAACTGCTTTATTTTTTAAAAATATTTCAGTAAGCAATGAGATACCTAAATATCCATTACACATATTTCAACCTACAAGTATTTTAGACGATGGAGTGTGCATAATTTGTGAATTTGCGATGCAATATATTGATAAAGCAATCGGCAACAAAAAGACGCGAGATAAAATTGAAAAGGCGGTGCACGGTGTATGCAATCATCTACCAAAGACTGTTTCCGAAGAATGCAATCACTTTGTGGATGAATATGCTGACGCTTTAATTAGCGTTCTTTCAGAAGATGTCAGTCCTAAAGAAGTTTGCAGCATGATTAACCTTTGCAAGACCAGCATGGTACAAATTCAAGGTACAAAAAAACTAAAAAAATTAATTTTACTATTACAGCCAGAATATTATATGCGGAAACATATTTATTTATTACAGAATCCATAACGGAATGTGCCTTATGTCGAGCAATTATATCAGAAATTGATAAGCTAAGTAATTCAGCTGTTGCGCGTGATGCTAAAATCGAGGCAATTGTCGGAAAAGTATGCAAGTATCTTCCAGTGAATAAACAAGATAAGGTAATATTTTGTTATTTCACAACTTTCCAAGAGCCAATTATTTGAAGCTAATTAATTGAATATATACAGTGCGACAGGATGATAGAAATTTACGGGCCGAGTATGATAAACATGCAGAAAAGTAATGTGGAAAGTGAAAAAATGTGCAACAAAATGGCTCTGTGCTCTCCCAATGATTATTTTGCAATGTCATTCAAGAGCTCACGTGTAATGCGATCCATCCCAGAGCTCAAGAAGTGCACATGGGGCAAATCATTTGTATGCGGAAATGAGGAAGTAGCTAAACTTTGCAATGTACGTATACGAATGCACGAGACTGCATTATTAAAGATTAATGATGAAACAATATTTTTTTAAATATCTGTTTTGAATTAGGTCACGAAGCAATGTGAAGATTACCGCAAGAGTGGTGAAGTTGTGTAAGTCGTATCAATTGCGGGCGACACGATTGTAAATTAAAAGCAAGCCTAACAACAATGCAAAAGAAGAGTGATGTGCTGCGCTCCGTGATTGGAAGTTAGACTTTTGGAGATTTTAACCGTAGCGAATAGACTATTTCATGTTACAATATATAAATAATATTCTTTTTTTATAATAATCTCTGCTATATGGAAGCATTGAAGTAATGTCGTATAAAAGCGATAAACGCTATGCGATCTTCCTGAACCAAATATTACGCATAGTTTGCCATACATTAAATTATATTGATATTGTACAATTGTTTTCTTTAATAGCGTTGCAAGAATTCCTTTTCTCTAGCTATGTAAAAAGCTCTTTTATAATACACAATACGGCAATATTAAAAGAACATAAATCTCATGTTTATGTATCTTTTTTTTTAAATATTCATCAAAGATCTGTTACTTTACTCGGAGGTCAACTGTGATAATGATAAAATGAAAAAAATGCATGTAACTGCTTCGGTGATTATACACTTATTCTTTAATGATTGAGATATAATTTGTATTTCTTTTCAATAAAAATATTCAACTGAGAAAACTTTCAAATGCTGTTTATTTTCTTAGTTCTTGGAATTAACATTCTTTTAAATATGGTTTTGTATGATTATTTGCTCAAAGTGTAGATTTATGACTGATAAAAATTAATGTTTTATTAATATATTGGAAAAATTTGTATTTTAAACTTTGTACTCCAAAATTTAGTTTGCATTATTTCTAACAAATCGTTTTCTAATGTCAAAATCTAGTTCTTGAATTAAAATGTTTAAATTTACAACATTCTTTAAATTGTTAATCTTACAAATACATATACATATTCTCTCTATCGTATTAATTTGTTAAACTCACCTCTTGAAACTTGTACTGGCAATTCATGCAAGATTCACACGACGATCGATGTCCGATATACGATATGTCGATATCTTGTATGAAAATATATTTTCTAGACGCTTTATTTAATGCCATATTTATCCCTAGATATTAAAGTTTCTTATTGGATGCCGGACATTTTATGCCGAAAAGTAAACCATGTGGATTTGATATTACTTTACTTGGAAACACAGTTTCCTATCTAGATATTTATACGTCATGATCGTTGCGCGCTGCTGTTGCATGATCTAACAGTGCGACCGCCATATTAATAGTTGAGCCGTCTTCGCGTTTGTGTATGCCTATTAGCGAGGTATTACATTTGTGAAGAATTGTGCGTTTCATACTCGAATATCATCATTCACAGATTGTAATCCGATCTATTTGTATTTTATCACAGAGAAAAAGCTGTCGATTGGCGTTTCGCCGTCTGGGTACAATTTACTTGGCTGAGCTGCTAGCTTCTGCTGCACGTTGCCAAGATGATGTACACAGTAAGTAGTTCAGCACGCAATGCTTCGCGCCATCGCATTATTTTTTATATAATTTTCAGTAAATTCAAAATTCTGACTTTCTTTCAGAGAAAATGTTGAAACATTGGCAATTTTTATCTTAGACTAAAAATAAGTTATTTTGCATATTGTAAGGTCCAAAGTTGAAAAATATGTTTTACTTAATTTTGCAGAGATTTTACTTAAATTTCTAACTTAAATATTTAAAAAACTGAAGATTTGGAATAATTAACAAAAAAAGAAAAAATTATAATTTGCTATGTTTTTACTGAGAAGTAATTGATTCTAAATTTAGCCAAAAATATGAACATTTTTATAAATTAATTAATTGTGATTATTGTTTATATCAAGAATGCATTTTTATATAGGATTTTATTTACCTCTAATTTTGCAGGGGACAACTGCTTCGCAGGATACGAGGTTCAGTGATAAAGAGAAGAAATTGCTTAAGCAAATGAAATTTGGAGATTCGTTGACGCAAAAGGTAATTTATAGTTTTTATAAAAGTCATTATTATTTTATGTCTACTGTACATTGCAATCTAAATTAGCAAAACATTTTCTATCGTATATTGTGAATTCTAACAATTATATATTTTTGCTAAAAGAATATTAAAAATAATTTTATTGAAGAAATTCTTATTAATGATCAGTGTAATAGATTAGTGGATTAGTATTAGATAGTCTGTATCGTATACAAATCTATGATTTGAGATTATGAAGTTGTGAACATTTAAAATAATGTAAACTTTAATGTATTCATTAAAGGTGGATATGAGTAAAGTAAAACTTGATGTAATTAAACCATGGATCACAACGAAAATTACACAAATTCTAGGAATGGAAGATGATGTTGTGATAGAATTTGTGAATAATCAGCTCGAGGAAAAGGTAAGATGCATCGCATTCAATCGATTAAAATTAGGCAATTTAATTAGAGAGATAGGTTTTTAGCTTGTGTGAAAAAAACAGTAATGTCAGTAAATGCGTTCACTTGGCTTTTTCCCCTCATCATTATAGGAACTCGATAAATATGCGTTATTTCAGCACGATGTTTTCGTATGAATCGCAAATCTACATTATCCAAACTCGGCACACTGTGCAGCACAGCGTGCTGAATTTGGATAAAACGAAGCAATGAGGCAGATATTCTTTTAACCATACTTGCCGCATTGTTTTTTCTTTTTAATTTCCATAAGTTTCATCGTCCTTCAATATCCCTTGTTTTTAATCAATCCACATATTCCCCTCCAAGCATATCCACTTTCAACAAAAGAAAAAAAAACAAAAAAAAAGAAACTGATCTGTAGCTGATCCTGCCATATCAAACTGTACAAAGTCAGTCTTTATCATATATGTTTGAATTCCCCGTTAGTATAAGTAGAGACCGTTGGTGGGGCTCAACCCTTTTGTCCAAATGGCATTCGGATGTGCTCCTCTCTACATCCGATTGGCCGCCTTTCTATCAGCCGTCAACCCTAGCATCAACTGTGGTGGCAGTTGGTATCTCAACGTCACCTTAGAACCGCCAACAAATCTTCGCAGCTACGCCGCGACACACCGTCGACATCATCGTCGCGGGACCGCCGGCATCATGAGACGCGATACATCACGCCGTGTTCCCGCTTCCTGCATCTCGCGTCCCTCCCCGGAGCAGCGTGCGAGCCTGTCCTGCTGATATCTACGTTGCTGTGCAGTACCGACCGTCATCATCACCGTCTTCTTCGGTGGACATCACTTCTGCTCGTGCCGCTACCTTGACCGAGGTAGTTTATCATCGTGAGCCGCAGGACCTCGAAAGCTTCGCAGCTTTCGCCCGCCCGAGGATCTTCAGCTGCCCGATGGCAACGGCGTTCGCGTGTCAACATGGCATCAACACCGCCGCTAGCTACGTTATCGGGTTCCACATTGGAATCGCCGACGTCGAAGTCAAAGAGCGAGACGGAGCGCTGCCCTGATGCTTACTTACCGCCGAAGCTCGGTTCGCGAAGGACTTCAATATTCCCCGAGACATACTGTTCGGTCAAGCGCGTTGGCATGATTGAGGCGAAAACGGCTTCCGGAGGTATTCCTTCACTCGGTTTGACTCTTTGTCACTGTCACAGGTTGGTGAAAAGGTGATCCTTTTATACCACATTATCTTTCTGATTTTTCAGACTGACGCTTTCGCCGGATATTCAATATATGCTTCTCTCTCATTTCAGCACCTCACTTTCACACCGTTAACGGTGTGAATATTATGATCGATGAAGGGGGGCGCGCAAAGTATCGGTCTATTTTGTGTGCTACTTGTTCATTTAATAATTTAATAATTATCTTTTCTTCTCAGCATGTGTAACGCAGGTACAAAGATATGCGGTCGGCGGCACTGGTGGTAAGACATAAGGCTTAGAGATAAAAGAAAAAATATCTGCTTTTTCGAGGGGGAAAAGCAGTTTGAAACAGAATAGGCATATAAATGTTGATTAATTTTTGTTCAAAATTTCCAATCAGAACGTAACATATTTATTTTCTTATTAAAGTTTGTTTAGACGCGGTTTTTTGTTGCTTTACGGAGAATTAAATAAGCACACTATATTTTACAGTTTCCCGATCCCCGAAAAATGCAGATCAACCTGACAGGGTTCCTGAATGGCAGGAATGCTCGTTCTTTCATGGGCGAATTATGGGACCTTCTGGTCTCTGCTCAAGAAAGTGTTACGGGCATTCCCGAGGCTTTCTTGCAACAAAAAAAAGATCAGATTAAAAAACGTTTGGTAATTATCAGCTTTATCTTTACGTAATGATTGAACGTAACAAATACTTGCACTCATATATATGTAACATATTTATTGTTAAATGTGTCTATTTAATGGTTACTTGATAACATTGCATGCAATTTTTGCTTGCCAAATATCAGAAAAATTTATATACGAAAGATTTATGTGACAAATTTTTATTATATCATTACAATTGTTTAACTAAATATAATTCAGAATTAAATGGCCACATTTAGCATTAATATGTAAAATGTGCATGCACAGCTTTATACGTATACAAATATTGACTGCGATCAGCAAAATGCAGTGCTTAAACGATATGATTGTTTAGATTTGATTGGGTAAATCTGAAAATATACTAACCAGATCTGATAATTATTTATTGCTTACTAAGCGTATGTTTTTCTGAACGCAGTCATTGCACTTTTATATCTTGAAGTTTTCCAAAGATGAAGTAACAATTGAATAACTATATTTTGATATTCAATAAAATTTTGTTGAATTGAATATAACAAAATGGATGAAATCAATTTCAATTTAGTTATATTTAGCTGTAAATAAGCGATATTTTGTAACAAACATAGGCTTACATTATGTAATATATTGGATTATAGGAAGAACAAGAGAAGCTTCAAGCATCGTTGGCGGAGAAAGAGAAGGAAAAGGAGCGTGAAAAAGAAAAAGATGACAGTGAGAGTAAAGTGAAGAAGGAGGAAAAAGATAGTGGCTCGTCGAAGGAGCGTAGAAGGGATCGAAGTAGGGATCGTGATAGAGACAGGTAATATCATCAAGAGAAATAGTTTTGAAAAATTATGGTTACATTATTTAAATTTAATGGTTACGATGTTGAAATCTGTCTTACTTTGTGTAGAAGCAAAAGGAGCAGATCGCGGGATCGACACAGGGATCGTGATCGATCGAGTCGTAAGAGAAGGTCCGCTTCGAGATCACCGAGTAAAAATTCGCTGAAGGATAACGGAAAGGATATGCCTGAGGCTAAGGTCGAACGAGAAGACTCGCCGCAACCGGAAAATGCTATACCTTTGATGCCAGTAAAAACTAAACCGTAAGCAAATTTAATCATATTTGCATACATTATTGAGATAAAGTTTTACATAAGACAAGAACTAATTTAATTTGATATATTTACAGGGAAGCCGCAGTAGCGATATCAAGATTGCAAGCCAAATTGATGAGCATTGCTGATGGAAAGAAAAAGAACAATCGCACACCCTCGCCGGAGTCGCTGGACAAGTCAGCGAAGAAATCACGATCTAGATCTAAATCGCCGGCGAATCGTTCGAAGAAGTCTAGATCCAAGTCACTTAGCCGGGATTCGAAAACGCGTCGATCACGATCGCTCGTTTCCAAGTCGAGGCGTTCTCGCTCCAAATCGAGATCTCGAAGATCGCGATCTAAATCCAAAAGATCGAAATCGCGCTCGCAGGATCGCACGAAATCAAGGCGAAGCAAGTCCAAGTCGCCGAGATCTCGTTCGCGATCACGTTCGCGATCCAAGAAATCGCGGTCCAAGAGCGACGACAGAAGCAAGTCGAGGAAGTCGGGAACTGACTCGAGCGACTCAAGATCGTCCAAGTCTCGCTCGAAATCCCCGGACAAACGAAAAGACGCTGTCGACTCGAACAGAAAACGCGATGGTAGCACGAGCAGCAGCTCAGGATCCGAGGAGGACAAAGGCGCGAAGGATAAGAATGATTTTGAGATACGAAAAAAGAAGGACGGTGTGCAAGCTAAGAGATCTTATCGTAAGACCAATAAGGACGACAGCGGCAGTGATAGCGACTCCAGTCGTGAGAGAAAGTCAGCTCCTAAGAGAAGAAGCAATTCGCCACGTAAAGACAGAGGACGCTCCAAGGATAGAGATAGAAATAGATCACGGGACAGATCACGAGATAGATCGCGAGACAGATCGCGAGATAGATCACGCGATAGATCACGAGATAGGAACCGAAGGTAAGATTTACAAATCTAATCTTTTACAATCAATTACGATCTTTTATTTTAAAAATATATTTGAATCTTATATATAATAATGCATTTATGGTATCCAAATTTGCTTTGCGTGCAAAGAGAATTGATATTTCTTCATATAAATTTTTAATGTCTTTGATTCTCTTTAGGAGATCATTGGATCGAGAACGCGACAGGCGACGTGAACGGGAGCGCGAAAGGGAGAGGGAGAGGGAGAGATTGGATCGGTACAGCGGTAGCCGTAGCATGCGACCACCTTCAGTGCGCAGACCGCCTAATAGGCGCAGGTAAGCGTTTCTTTTTCATATCAAATAATTTTACATTTGCATTGCGTGCATGAAAATGCTTGTTCCAGCAGTCCCCCGCGCAGGAGTCCGGCAAGATATCGTCGTAGGTCACCGAGCCCCGATGACAGACGCCGTAGGAGATCGCTGGATCGTCGGCGACGCTCGTCGGAGAGACGCGACAGACGTCGATCGCCCGATCGCCGTAGCAGCCGACGTCGCTCGCCGGACGGACGGGATCGATCGAGCAGGTACGATAGATCTTCCTCACGCGACAGATCAAGTAGGCGGGATCGCTCCAGAGAACGACGGGATAAGGATCGTCGATCTAGATCCAAGGATCGTAGATCGAGATCCAGGGATCAGAGGTCATCGATGGATCGTTCGAGAGACGGGAAACGGTCTCCCGATCGTTCGAAGGATGCCAGGGATAAAGCGAGGGAGAAAAAAGCAGATGAGAAACCTAAAAGACCGTCTGATACAGGGTCGCGAAAAGAGGTGCGAAACGGCCGGTCTAAATCGAGTAGCTCGGAAAGTAGCGAGAGTAGTTCCTCTAGCAATGAGGACGAGTCACTTAGGTGAGTAAAATATGCATTTTCTACACAATACTATCTTTTACAGAGTCTGCGATCGGTGGATAAATAATAAACTCGGCAGATACTCGATTGTGGCGTATTCGATCGTCGTTCGTTGAATGACACTAAAAAGAATGTATTTGTGATGTGTGTCTACAGGAAATCTATCGAGCGCAAGGTATCACAGGAGAAGCGGGAAAGAGAACGCGAACATGCGGATGATGGCAAGAAAAAGGAAAAGGAGAAGATATTGAAAGAGGAATCCGCTAAACGGCCGGAGAAGGAGGTAAAGAAGATAGAACCTGTTGTCGTGAAAAAGTCGGAGCCCAGCGTTTCTCCCAAGAAACTTCAAGTTACTTCTCTCCCTATTACAAGACACAGAGTGAGTTTCAAATTCATTTTGATTATTTTTCAGATAAACGGTAAAAGTTTAAACTTCATAAAATTTATATCTATTAAAATATAATTTATAATATATTTATATACACACACAGATTACGTTACGCATTGTTTCACGAGGTCGTTCCTTTTAACTTTTCAGTTCTCGAAGAGCTTATCGCGTACACCTTCGCCTTTTAAGAAGACTGAAGATATTGTGGCCGCAACCGTTAAGATTAAGCAGACAATTAAGTATGTTGTAAAATATTTTATGAATAATATTCTCGGTGCTATCATTGTATATATGTGTATATAATTGTATATATTCTACTTCCAGGGAAGATAGCAAGGATGAATCACCGAAGATTGGAGAAACCAATTTCGCCGCTAGTGATGCTTTCCCTCTAAAGAAAGATGACAAATCTTTGAAAACTGCAAAGTCAGTAGCAGAAGATAAAAAGCCTGTTCAAAAATCATTGGAACTCCCATTGTCCAAGAAACCTGTAGAAGCGGTGAAAAAAACAAAGAAAGAAAAGCGTGATGGCTCCACAGATAGTGAAGATAGTGATGCTGAAGGTAAAGCATATTTTAATTAATAAAACATGATGATAATCAATGAAAATCAATTTTGTTTCTTATACAATCTTTATCTTACAGGTAAGAGAAAATCGAGAAAGCTGGAGAAACCGAAGAAATCTAGGAAAGCATCGACAGATGACGATAAATCTGACAAAAGTAAAGCTGGCTCCAGTTCAGATTCGGAGGATGATAGAAAGCATTCAGATAAAAATAAAAAAGCAAGAGATACTAGTCGAACCGGTAAATTCTTCATTAACAATAATAGAGCTTAATAATTAGCAAACTTAATAAAATATTAATATGTGTATAAATATAATTTTTTTATTACTTTATAACAGATCCAGATGATCGCAGCAAAGATAGAAAGGACAGTAGAAAACGCGAAGTTACCGAAAATGATTCGCGAAAACGTTCAAGAAAAGAGATAGAAGAAGAAGTGAAAAAATCAAAAAGAGCACGAAAAGACTCTTCTTCGGGCGAAGAAGAGCAGAAATCTAAAAGAGATAAGAACGAAGATGATAAATCCAGATCTCGAAAGTCAAAGAAAGACTCGAGTTCCGATGAAGAGCCCAAGAAGACGAGAAAGAGGAGAAATACTTCATCGGATGAGGAAAAGTCTAAGTCCCGGAAATCCAGAAAAGAATCGACAAGTGAAGATGAATCTAAATCAAAATCAAAGAAATCCAAGCGAGATTCTAGCTCGGACGACGACGATCTTGGAGATAAAGACACAAAAAAGAAAAAGAAAATCGACGATAGTACGGACGACGAAAAGGTGAAAAAGAAGCGTAAGAAAAAGGCAAAAACCAGCACCAGCGAATCGGAGGTAATGATTTTTGTAGGCAACTAATTTATAATTTTTAGAGAATCGTTATTGAGTTTCTGTTTTTTTTAGGAGAGTGAAGTAGAAGAAAAGAAGAAAAAGAAAGAGAAGAAGCATAAGAAACATAAGAAGCATAAGAAGCACAGGAAGCACAAAAAGAAGAAGGTCGCCGATTCAGATGAATCTGACGTAAGTGAAGGTAATACGGAAGAACTGGAAAAAAAACTTCGAGAGAAAGCACTAAAGTCCATGAAAAAGGGGCATAGCATTGAACGAAGTGATTGAGAGACTAACGTTTCATGAAGAATGTGTTGTGCGTGTATCTCTGTATCGCAAAGCTAATTATAATATGAATATGATGAATAACTTTCGTTTTGTACGAAGAATTGAATTATTATTTTCTACATATATGGATATATATACAAGTATGCATAATATATACATGTGTATATTACATATATGTTATATCTATACGTATGTATGTATCATGTATATATATATATATATATATATATCTATAGATATATACATAACTACTCAATCCCTTCGGAACAAGATCAAATGACATTCATACCGCAACGCAAATCATTTTCATACAACTGAGAAAAAAAATATTCTTTAATTTTCACATTTCATAAACATTAGTCGGATATGTTTGTGTGATGATTCATTTTTGCAGTGTATTTTCACAATATATTATTCAGCTGATACAAATACTCGTCTAGACTAATATAATATAAAAGTTTAAAATTTTTTTTGAATAATTGGACAGAAAATATCTTTGACATTTTTAGTTCCTAAGCACGTTCAATTGAAATTGAACAATTGTACGAAATAGCCATTTGTTTATCTTAATTTGTATAAAGTTTAGTTTTTAACGCAGTTTAAAAGCCAATAAATAGCATACTTAATAACGACGTATTATATAATAATTTGCAAAAAACATATTTAGTAAAAACCTCATGCTCCTAAATGATACTATAATTTCTGTTTTACAGTGACTCCTAATTTCCTCTAGAGGTCAGAAACGCGATACTGAATTTACACAAACATTATGTAATTTATTTAATAATTTACGTAATTCTCTAGTATTGATAAAGAAAATATAAAAATATTGAAAATTACAACTTGCATTACAGATTGCTCATCCAAAATCTCCCAAGAATCTTAATATCCTTCTTTTATAAAAACATTCTTTATTAAAATTACTACATAAATAAAAATTTATGATTTATCCAGCATAGATTCTAAATCTGGTGAACAAATTAACTTGTTGTTTACTGAGCCAAGATTGATAAGATCACCTGTTAATGATGCAGTGTCTATTTTTGCAGCTAAAAGCTCCTGAAAAGTAATAAAAAAATTGTCATATAATATTTGTATTCTGTAAATTAAGGTGTGCGAATTATTCAATTGTTATTCACCTGATGAAATTGTTGCTGTATGCCAGCATCAACGAAAAAACTCTTTTCACCAAACCGTAACCTTGCTCTGCCTGATTTCAAAATCTCAAGTTTACCTAAGAAACCGCTTTTTAAATTGTTCAAAGTGCAGTGCTCAGTTTTTGCTTTAATGTCACTTTCACTATTAGTACTGGAATCACTTGGTCGTTTTGGTGCTGGTTCCTCTTTGCACGATTCCAAGCCTGGGAGACAGTCTGGAAACTATTAATCAACAGTTGAATCAAGCAATAGCTATATTAACAACTATAATGGAATATACGTTATTTTTACCTGTATTAATATATAAGAATTTGCTTTGTTTTCAAGTATTTGAGAAATTTTTAACTCTTCCTTTTTATCTTCTTTGTGTTGAAAAGTGATTTCATTTTTTATAACTATAAAAAAGAATTAACATGTATAAGAAATAATAACATTATAAGCTTTTTAGAATACTCTACACTTGCCTTGACCATTTACTGAGATGATTGGTTTCTTGTCAATCTCTTCATCACTATGTACATTTTCACTATGCATCTTTTGCAATCTTGGCAATAAGAAAGGATCCATCTTCTCATCTAAAGAGTCTACATCATCATCAATAAAATCATCTTTTAATAAATTCTTTAATTTCTTCTCTTCTTCTGCTTTATCGATAACTTTGTTCAAATTTATCTTTGGTTTTTCCAAATATTTCCCACTATCTGTACTATCTCTGGAACTTTCAGATCTTATTCTAGTAGTAGGTGCCGCATATATTCCTTCTGACCATATACCCATAGACTAAAAATAAGATACTTTTGTGATGTATGCTACAAAATGCTGAAGAATATTTGGTATAAAGATTTACCTGTATTATATTGCTTCTATCTGTCTTCCCACGTCCTCTTCCCCGCGTTCTTCCACGATCGATATCCCTTGATCTTGCATGCTCAACCTTCACTGCTGTTGCATCACTAAAATTGAAATTGTTTTTAGCATTTAAATTATATACGCATATATCGCAAAATAATCCGGTTAATTAAGTAACCTACTCCTTCTTTTTGTTTCTCTGCACATTGAGGTTTGGTGTGTACACCTTTTTCGGCTTTTCAGTCTTAATATTTCCACCTAGTGTCAGGTCTCGTGGTAGTCGAAAGGATGTTAGTCTCTGTGTAGTAATAGGCACACCTGGTTCCATTTTAATATTTCGCACTCTTTCTGAAAGCGATACCGAAGATGCTGATGATACTGATGATACTGACGACACCGACGACACTGACGACTCCGCAGACGTGCCAGGTTCTATCTTCACTTGAACATTTGTGTTCTTGGAATCGATAGTTACACTTTTGTTTGAAGCCATGTTTGATAAACACAGTAGAATTCACGCTATAATATATTTCTCAATTTATTTTTTTAAAGCAGTTGTGTGTGTTCTGTAACTTTAATGTACCTCAATATTAATTTTAAACACTATTAATATAATATAATTTTTCAATGTTGCAATGATCTGTTAAAATACCTGTGATTCTAAAAAATAAAACATAGTAGAATTTGTGCAATCAAAACATCAAACGTTCACGTTTTAAATCATGCTCATATACAATATCACACGTGCTTCGTACTATTTATTCTAAGAATATTTCCCATATGATTTTCGGCATTAACAATACATCATTCAAGATAACTGACCTTATGAGAAAAATTAGTACACTAACGCCCTCTCGACATGTAGCAATCAAACTATATAAGAAATCGTTCATTTATTTATTTTATTGTAAGATATATATATATATAAGAACTTTTGACACAGTAAATTAATCGTTCCAATTATTTTAATACTCTAATCATTTCTAATACTGGGTGGACTTCCGAAAAGCTATCACCCCCGATTTGGCTAATATTCAGCCTAAATATTTATTTTATCTAGTAAATAATATTCCTAAATAGATTTTTGGAGCAAATGTCCATTCCGCCCCCAACAATCCCTCAAAGGTAAAACTGTTTTAGTTAATATTTTAAGAAAACATTTATTGTACGGAAAAAGTTGTTAAACAAAAAATGAAGCTCATAATAAACTCTACAAATAAGGTCCTATACATATTTTACCTAACTCCAATATTTTAGTCATTAGTATTAGAAAAACTGTAAATGCCCCCGTAGGAGGAGCGGCATTCACTGCATCTACGCATAAGCCGAGAGCACAAGCTTTTACATAAAGCATAACGCATAAGCATAAGGAAATTGATTGGTCTATATATAAGCATAAGCAAATGCATAAGGAAATGGACCAATCAATTTCCTTATGCTTATGCGTTATGCTTTATGCAAAAGTCTGTGCTCCGGCCAATACACTTTACAACGCGAAGCGAGGTTCCACATGGATTTACAAATTTCTACGCAAAGCAAGATTCAATCATGGTTGATCCATAATCGATTATGGTTGGTTTAGCTATAAAATTCTGGTTGGATCAACCATAATCGATTATGGTTGAATTAACTATAAAATTATGGTTGGATCAACCATAATGGATTATGGTTGATTTAACTATAAAATTATGGTAGTACTGTAAAAGTAAAAAAACTGTAAAAAATGGATGTACGCGCCGCTAGTGTACGGTCTAGTAAAAGCGTCGTACGAAAAACGGCAGCGTGACCCCTCTCAGGTTTCTCTCTGCTAATACTTATATATATTAAAATACTTTGAATTATATTTTTATATTAACTATTGTCTGAAGCTTCCGTTATACGTTGACAGTTCGAGACTTACAATCGCTGTCTCCTCTACGTAATTTTTATTCCACGACTAATCACGGTTTGTTAACGGATTCAAATTTCTGTGTATCTCTCATGATTATTACGGTTGAAAAGTGAATATTACGTGTGAAAAATTATCGTGAGTGTCGTGTAAAGTTTCTTCGATCGAATATTCATCGTGAAAAGTGTTATACATCGCATAGAATCGCAATAATGTTGTACAATCGCCAATATTGTGATTTAGGCATGAACGAACCTCTTCTGTGTGCTCAGAGACGATTGACAGTCTTCACATATCCAATTCTTTTCTCACATCAAAATGCATCGAAAATCATCATTATTAGGTACGTAACTATATTTTATTGTTTTATAATTAATTGTGTTACTCTTTTTGCAATAATTCACTACTTTGACATCATCACTGTACATCACTGCACATTATCAGATACGTAAATATATGTTGCCGTTTTGTAATTAGTTGTATTAATTATGCTTTTTATTATAATTTATTCGATTATTTATAAAACATCTCAAATTTTATTTCTACGTTAAATTATAACTCTTCTTTTTAATTGCGCTTTTTATATCAATTTTTTTGTTCTTATTTCAAGGATTAAATGTTTACACATTTTATGTTAAAGAAATGCAACTAAACATTTAATTGTATTATGAAATATGCAATTAGCGGTCCATTTGATGCTACAAATACTTCGAAGCATTATGTAAACCACAGTCTTAGATCATTATTGCGAGAACTGCAATATCGACAGATTTAATTGCATTTAGTTGCGGAACGTGTCGCTACAGTGCGTTACAATGCACACTTGCTCGCGAAGTCGTATTCAAAAATTGCTCTGCTTACTTCTCGTGATTGTTACTGTCGAAAAGTGATTCTCGTTGTGCGCGACAAATTATTGCAAGTTTTTCGTAAAGTGTTGGACGTTTGTTATGTTTTAACTGCATACAATCGTTATTATTATGTGCTAATATTGCGATACCGGTATCGACAATCTGTTTTCGTGTGAAATCCTCTTCACATATTTCAAGTTAATGTTTTGCCAAAATGCGTTATTCGGCACATAATTGTTCTCAGGTATGTGCATTTATTCTGCAATTAGTTATATTTATTATGTTTCTTGCAATATTTGAATGCTGACAGACATTTTTTGATTTTGCATACTTTGCACATTGGCGAAACGCTATTGCATATCATAATATGAAAAATCTTAATTAAATCGTAATCTAACCTAACCACAATTTTTGAAAGCTACTAAGCTGAAATTATTGAGTTAAAATTAAATATTAATCTTAATTTGGGAAATCATGTTTTAGTAAGTAATTAAAACATGAATAATGACAGAACAAATGCAGTTATTTAGCAATTGCATTCTTAATGCAATTGTATTATTTAGTTATAAAATTTATACGAAAGTCTCACATGTGATACATTAAGATCGTCAAAAAGCATTGGAAGACAATAATTGCAATATGCTAAACTTCTTTATCATGAACAAAGTATGATATTGAGGCACTTGAGAGATATGATTCTTAGAGGCACTTATAATTACAATCACAGTATTTTGTTATAAAGAATTAAGTTCTGATGAAAAGTCTTGATGAAAATTCGTTAAAATAAATATGTAAATGAGGAGAAAATAGTAAGTTTATATAAGCAGGAAATTATTTGAAATTATTATCTTTAATTGATTATATAATGTTATAAAATTTCTTAAATTAAATTCGATAAAGAATTTGCGCCACTTAAAGAAGATGCGCTTGGTAGAAGATATTTTGTATACTTTTGCTTACTGGAAACTATTTACTTAATAAGATATATCGATTTCGTTTAATGATATTCAGAAATTTGTAAATTGATTACTATCCTCCTAGTCAACAGTCTATTTATGTTAGTACTATTTATAAAATTTTGTTTTCTAAAGTATTTCGAATCCGGAACGCGCTATATACTTTTATAAGAAATAAATACAGAATAGCGAACAAATTAAAGATTCGCGATATTGTATTTATTAAATATCTCTCTTTGCTATATTTTTAAAGTATTTTATCTTTTCAAATATTTTCTAACTTTATGGCAATGCAATCCCTTGCACATCCGTTTCGCGATATTCCTCGCGACGGTAGATAAGTGGTATCGCGGCGCGTGGCAACCTGCAGGAGACGACGGCGTCGGCGTCGGCGTCGGCCACGTTTTCAGAATGGCTAGTAGCGTAGTGACACGGGCAGGAGGAGAGCACAGCCGGCGTGGATGAGGTCATCGTATGGCTTCTTAGCCGCGCTGTGTGCCGGCAGTCGCGACGCGGAGCGCCCGAACGCCGGCCGCTGCTGCACGCGTTCCCGCTGCCACCGCACGCGAGTGAGCGGTTGGTCCTGCGATCGAGAAAGAGAGAAAGAGAGAAAAAGAGAGCTGGGACATGCGACGACGTGCCACGTGCCACGGCGCCGTGCATTTCAGCGTGCCCGCGAGTGCACCTAGATCGTCTTCTGACAAAATCGCCCAGATATTTGTTGCTTTTTCCGCCGGCTTTATTTCCTCTTTGCACGGTTAAGAAAGAACACTGCGAATCCTATTCAGATTCCCCACCGGGGCGAATCCCTAAATCCGAGGGTCCTGCGGAAGGACCTGCATAGCGTCATTTCGGAGCACAAAACTACGATTTCGATCTCGCGTGATCGACAATGTGATCCGCTTTACAAAGCGAAATGGAAATTTGTTTTTCTATATGGAGGATATTTGGTATTGATATTATGCGAAAGTGAGTGAGACCTGTCACAAAATAAACTTCAAAAAAAGAGCTATTTTAAAAAAATATTGCTGCCCATGCAATGCAAAAAACGACACGCAAATTTCTTTCTTTCTCTCTCTTTCTTTCCTTCTTTATCACTCATTAAATCTCGATAAAAAATGAATCACTTTCTGATTTGGTCAGTTATTGATTATTTTTATAATCAAGTACTCTGTTTTACTTCTACAATTTAACATTGCTTTCGCGAAAAAAAATGTGCGTTTATAACACAAGCTACATTTAAAAAAATCTTTTAAATCTTTCTACTTCGCGACAAGTGCAAAAATTGCATAGTGAATATCTCTTTTCAACGGCTGTCCCTTCTGGAATTCCATACGATTATTTTCACAATACACAACTGTTGCGTGGGTCATACAGAACACCGTCACGCATGATAGTCTTATTCGCGTTACTTGTATGTTAGAAATCGTGAATTGAAACCGGTATAATTTCGGTGAGTTCATATTTCTACACTGTCAAAGTACGAAAGTAATCTGCATTGATTTGCAATAATTGGCGTAGAGCATACATTTTTCTCACCTTACATACATATTTTTGTATTTTATTTTATAGAATATCCTACTTGTATAACATCAGAATTTGATTCACTGAAATTATTAATGTAATTTTCTAACTAAAGTTATATTAACTCAAACCGCGATTAGAATCATCTTCTGTTTGTTGGTATAATTTAAAATTACTCTCGCTTCTTTACGATCGACATTCGAACTCATCGAAATAGTTTGAATTCCTTAATGAAACCTTGCAAAACGAGCGAATTGATTTTAAAGCGCCGTTTCCGACGTCGGCCGTAGAAGAGCGGATTTGAAGTTCGGTCAGCCGCAGCGTTCTTAAACCTGTTTTGTACTCCCCCTCAGACATTGGATACATCGACGGGTTTTCGAGCAGCCGACGCATCCGAGAGCGTGTCTTTCTTGAAGTCTTTCGCGCCGGGAACTTCTTCTTTCAGAATTTTCTCATTAACACTTTCTTGCGTACTCGCGGATGAGTTATCTCGCGCTTTCGAACGCTTTAAACGCGACGTCTCGCGCTTTTTTTACGTACACTACAATGCCGATGTCTATTAGATCTTTGAAAATATTTGACATATGAGAGAAATATTGTTTTGATAGTGTTTATGCAA